GTTGTGGTATTTTGGGGTTTAGTGTCGACCTAAAGAAACTACGAGGGGAGGGTCACCCCAAAACACACTGCGGCCCGCCTGGTTGGCGTTCGCCTTTTCGCTCGATACAGAATGCCTTCGCGAAGTTGCCTCCAGAGCGGTCGGAAGGGAGAGGGACTGCAGTGTTTTGCCCGTTGTGCAAACAAAGACATCAAAACTGAAGGATGCGATAGTCATAAGCAACAGGATTTCCACAGGGCTTCACACTGGTCTTCCTCTCTTTGTCGGTTCTTGTGCTGGTTTCAGCACGTGTCCCGACCACCGAGATTGGCAAAAACACCTTCTTGGTAATCATGTCCCACCAAGGAGTGGGGTCTTGCGGCTTAGTTAACACGTCACCAAGTTGGATTTCGCTAGGAATCCAGGCCAGTGGTAGCTTTTCGCTCCACTTCTCCGCCTTGAGAGCTTGTCGCAAAGCGGCCAAATCGACCGCTAGTCTGCGGTCGGAAGGAGTCCTTGGGACTCCTTGTCGGTGCAGGTGGTCAAACAGTGACCTGCAGTCACTCAAACAAACGAGCGGCGTCTTGGCGTCCTCGACCTTGGTCATCTCCCCGCTGAGGATCGTCTCGTAGCAGGCACGGATGTACTGTGCCCCTTCGAGTCCCTCGATGCAAGCCTGGGTCTCAGCGCTGAACGTGCTGCGGCAAACTCTTTGTCCGGCTCGGGACTTCCAGTCCAGTACCGACACGTAGCCACCTCCCTTCGTGAAGCAGTCGTCAGTCCCAAGAAGGATGAGCTCCCCAAGCTGAGAGGCGACCTTGGAGTTGTTCCGCTTCGCCTTTCGCCCCTTCTGGTGCGACGGAGGTCCGTCGCGCTGTAGGCCAGCCTCGAGGTCCTCGGGGTAGAGCTTGAAGTCGTCCTCGTCAAACTCTCCTTCGTAGGCGTTCGCCCATGCGGCGTCGTGGTAGGTGAGGAACACGGCCTTGTCTTCGCTCACTGGTCGGAAGACCAGTCCACGCTGCTTGTGATCCTCAGCTTTGGCGGCAATGCTGTTGGTGAATTTCACGTCTCCATACGTCGGGGCCTTCTGGAGCTGCTGCGACATGGAGACGGCGCATGTGATGTCTGGCCGGCTTTGCGCCGACACCCACGACAATGCCCCAATCAGACTTCTGTTGTCCGCCAACGCCTCGGCGTCGGCTGGGGCATCTTCAGATGCTCCTTTAGGGATGCTCACCCTGAAGAGCCGGCTCTCGACGTAGGACTGCTGGTTCAGGTAGGCGCCGTTCTCATCATAGCTGATCTCGGTCCCCACATAGGAAAAGCCCGCTCTTCCCAGGAATCGACCGGGAAAGTTCGAGATAGAGCCTCGCATATCGCCTTCTTGACGCTGCGCGGGGCGACCGCCAGCAAGTCGTCCACGTGAGTGCCGACGTAACCAATGGGCTTCCCGACAAACTTCTCGTCGCGAAACTCCCTGAGAGCAAAGATGCAGGGGTCCATCGGGCACTGGTCGAACTTGTAGAGCTTGCCTTCGATCTCAATCTCGATCCCCTTGATCCCACTTTGGAGGTCCTGCCACCATTCATGCGGTGAGGTAGCCAGCCCGAAAACATTCCTTTTGACCCGAACTAGTTGGTCAGGATGTAGTCCAGCAAAGCCTGTGGAGGGCTGGTGCAGATACAATTCTTGGTCTCGCCGGAGATATCCGCCGGTGAGGAAAGCACATCGAATGTCTCCTGCAGCGGCCTCCCAAGGGTCGGTGTTCTGCACGCCATTGGCCAACACTTGGAGCAGGCATAGTAGTCCAGGCCTCGAAAGAGTGGGAGCGTCGGTAGTGATCCCGGCACAAGGACAAGAACTGGGCCAAGCGAAAGCAGGGTGAAGATCTCCCGTGGAAGTGTAAGTCCCGGTTAGTAATAGCCGGATATCAAGACCCAGACCTGGGGGTCGCGCCCATCTTGACCGCAAGATTCTGTCTGGCGGGACTTCTCGTCGAACTCGGTTGCTCTCGTCGACGTCGAGGGGCTCCAAGGCGTCGTAGGACAGGTGCTCCTCCCATTGCTGGGCTTCAGCTTCTTTGAACTTCTCCTTGACTTGGTCCGGTATTTCGGCCCACCGGAGCTCTTTCTCCTGTCGCTTCTCCACGCCACGCTGCGTGAGGTCGCGCTTCATCATGAAGACTTCGGCTTCCCCGTCCAGTGGGGGCGGTCTCCTCCTGGCAATGGTGCCAGCGCTCTCCCCTTCAGTCGGATTGGTTTTCCGCTTCAGCCTTCGCACGGGGGCAGGTAGTAGCTCTCCACCGTCTTCATGATCCAGCTCCATGTCGCTCATTTCCGGCAACTCGACGGGGTGATCGACTCCTTCAGGGTCACTGAGCGAGTAATCGGAGAGGTGGTCGTCGACGGCCATGTCGGCATCGGGCGCCTCAAAGTCAAAGGTCTCTTCCGCATCGAAGTCAGCTTGTACGAGCTTCTCAACTTCTTGTTGTGCACCTTTGAGTCGAAAGAACTCGCCCACCTCTTCTGGCCCAGAAGGCCGAAGGTGCTCCGGCGCCGTAAGCCGACAACGTCCTCCTCTGGAGATCCAGTAGTTATCTCCTTCACGCCCGACCACAACTGCCGGTCCGGCCCATCGTCCTCGGCGACGGTCCTTCGGCTTAAACCAGTAGTGCACCGGCTCACCGTGGTCGAATGGCCTCGTAGTAGATCTCGCGCGATGAAGAAGTGCCTTTCGAAGCCTTGAATCGGCCTCCGAATGGTGGAAGGCGACCTTCGCAGAAGCCCTGATTGCTTGGGCTCGCTGGAACTCGGAGAGCTCCCAACTCACACATTGGCCAGATTCAGGGTCGAGGAGCTGTTCTGGAGTCCTTGGCTGCCTTCCAAAGACCCACTCGACAGGACTGTGGCCGCACTTGCGGCGTAGGGTGTTCTTGGCCGCTGAGACCAAGGTGGCGGCCAGCTCGATCTCCGCCTCGACAATCGTCATCTCGTGGCACACCCGATCCCAGATGTTCTTCCACCAAGCGCCTTGGCGCTCGGTGATGCCGGCCTGCCAATGAGCTTGAGTGCCGACGTTCTTCACGGTGATGGAATGCCAGTCGCACAGCCTACGAAGCCCTTTTTGCACCCCACCTTCCAAGTCGACTGACACCGTAGACGGCGGCCCGAACGGGGTCACCCAATGGTTATTGAAGACCTCCTCAATGTCCTCGGCGGAGTGCCCGTAGAGCGGGACCACGATGTGGTAGGAGGTCCCCCAATCCACCATAGACAGGAAGCTCCACTTCTGATCGTCAGCGTCGTGGTGGTAGAGAATGTCGACCCCGACACAGTCATTGAAGTCCAGCATTCTCGGCATAGCGGAGGGTCTTGCAATCCTCGGCCCTGCTGTTGACAGGCAGGTTTCACATCGCATCCCTTTGGCTGCTTTCAAGATTTCCTCACTACAACCAGCTAGTCGCAGATGTCGAACAAGGTCCTCGGTCCGCGGGTGTCCGAGGTTCTGGTGTAGGCGTCGCAAGGCGCTCTGAAGTCCAGGGGCGACACCCTTCTCGAAAGAAATTCCACTTCCATCCATTCGCAAAGGTCGTTGTGGTAGTTCAGGTTGATCAACGGCGTGCACCTCGTAGGGTCGTGGGACGGTGTTATTGCGCTCGTAGTGCCCTCTTCTCTTCCCGAAGATTCCCCATTGGTCACCATGAACATCACAATGAGCGTACTTCTGGTAGTCGGCGAACTTCTCCTTGAACTTCTCGATGTCATCTCCCCGGACCACAACGTCGCCCCCTCCAGTGATCTGATCCCGGGACAACTCAACAACCACATCGAAAAGGTGTTCTGGCATGCGGCCAAGGTTGATGCGCAACTCGTTGGGGGTGATGCCCTGCACAATGTCGAAAGCGTTGCTGACCTTGTCCGGGTCGTTGAATTCTTCCCACCCCATCGGCTCCATGACAGACTTGTCGAGCTCGACCGCCTCATAGGTGGCATCGGTGCCTCCCAGCTCAAAGATGACGATGGGGTCGTGCACCGCGTGGGGTAGAGCTTCTGTCATGAACGAGGAAGCGGCTGAAATCATCGTGGAGAGGAGCAAGGTCAGCTTCACCGCGGAATGGGCCAGGGATTTCCTGACGGATTTCCTGGGCAGCTTCTGACTCCTTTCTGTAGATGTCCCCTCGACCTTGGCCCGGGCTCTGGGGACCGAGCAACCAACTTTCCTGAGGTAGTCGACGATCTCCTTCCCGACCTTGGGTAGCCCGCGTGTGGTATGGAAGGTCACTGACCAACGGTGGCCTTCCCACTCGGAGACGCAGTGCTTGAGGTGAGGATCGAAGGACACGAACTTGTGGTAGGTGTCGTGGTACATGCCCGGAAGCCAGCTCTTGTCCTTTGCCCTTTTCCACACGACGCCTTCTTGGTGGCATTGGTCTTCATCAAGATCGCGATCTTCAAGCCAAAGAAAACCACCCTTCTTTTGACCGAAGCTGCAGCTGTGGTTCAAAGTACCGGGCAAGTTGTTGAAATCGTGATGGATCCCGGCCTTCACGTCGTGGCTGAGGGTGAAGGAAGTCCAGGTAGCGCCGGCGCCGAGGTGGTACTTGGCAAACGCATTCACGTACCTGCAAAGGTGCGACTTTTCAATGGTGAGCTTGGTGATGCCTTGGATGCCGCCGTGGGTGAACAGGCCGAAGGTGTAGTAGCCGAGGTCCTTTTCTCCGTCCTCGTCGGCGAAGCTTACACCGCGGTCATTACGTCTCGGCTTGAGGTCGGCGGCACTCAACACCATCATGAGCTTGTCGTAGGTAAAGTCCCCGCTGCGGTAGGCTTCCTTGGCGACCGCTTCTCCATCGCTCATCCCTTCGACGCTGCCCTTGTGGTCGTCGACCGCGTAGACGGAGGCCTGCGTGTAGTTGCCGCGCACAAAGTCAGTCTCCCATACCACGCCACTTCCGAGGACCGCAGGGTCCCCACAGCAGACACCGCTCGTAGGGCGATGCCTGCCTTGATCTTCCGTCTCCTTCACTTGCCCGACTTGGTTCGGGCTTTGTCCTTGAGGAGGGCCAAGCGGGTCTCCAGCTTCTGGATCTCGGCGAGCGTGTCCGCATCCGGCTCGTCGTCCATGTCCTTCTCGGGGTAGGCGGAGTCCGTGTCCACGGTGGGCCGTTTCGGCCGATCGCGAGTCGGCTTCTCCCCCATGTTCACTGCCCTCGTCGGCAAGTTCTCCTCCCAGACCCCTCGCCACGAGGACCCTGCCGAGCTCTCCGTTCCCGGGTACGGTCCCGGAAGACTGCTCCCCACGTCGCTGCTGGCATAGCCCTTGTTCTCGTGCTGCTTGTTCTCGAACCAGCGGGCGAACCTGATCAACTCGTCGTCCGCATTTCCACTGCTCTTCACCTCGTTCACCGCCCAGACGCCATATTGGTGCGGGATCTCCCGGAATTCCCGTATCTTCATCAGTTCGTTGTCCGGGGTGTTGAGCGAATCCCTCACGAGGCGCAAGAGGTTGCCCTTGGTGATCGACGCCGGGAAGTCGATATTGAGGGACTGGGCCTTCTTCTTCAACTCCGGCAGAGTGAGCTGGCTCACCTTCTTCATCACAACGGTGGCGTCCTTCTCGTTCTGCGCCACCCGGTGTTCCATGATGATAGCCTTGATCTCCTCCGGGGACCACGACTTGTGCACCGTCAGTCCCAAGCGCAGGGCCTCCTCGAGGAGCTGGGTCTTCGTCATCTTGCTGATGGCCACCTGCTGCTCGCATCCCGGTGCTTCCATGGAGGCGCGGCGAGGGCGAGAGGGTATTCGAAGGCGGTGGTCGCTTGTTCAAGACTGTTCTTCCGATCCAGAGTAGCGGCAAAGTTGATTCAGACGTTGCGCTCTGGCTCCAAGTGTCAATCACATCTTCTAGCCAGCGTTCAGAGGAGCAACAAACTGCTTCAGTGACCCTAATCTCACCAAGGCTGCTCAACAACATCTGCTTCTGAAGAGTAGCCGACGACCCCCCCCCCCCCACATAGCTGGATTAAACATGGACCTCCTTGGAGTAAGATGAATCCTTATCCAGGAACATTCTGTTTCAATCCAAAAGTCACCTGGTACACGACAACGCTTCCACCATGACATGAAGGCTTCACGAGGCAATCGGCATTGAGTAAGCATGCTCTTCACTGCAGGGTCTAATTTCTTGTCGTGGTAGATGTTGTACATGTGTTCAGCCCTACTGTTGAAACCCACGGCAAACGCTGTATATGGCTCACGCGACTCGAGTCCGGGCTCCTCCACAGGCAGGACGGAATCTTTCCCGCCGTCAACAACTACTGGAATGATCGGGATGGCCGGATGGCCAGAAGCCGTCGACATCAACTCGAATCCGCTCAAGCCGACCTTTGTGAAGTCGGCGGTGCCCTGCTCGATGTCGTAAATCATGCCTAGCTTGCTGAGGACTGTTCTGGAAACCAACAATGGGATATCGCCGTTGATCACTGAGGTGCGAAGACGAACAACCTTTTGCCCAAGTACGAAGCTGATGACAACATAGAAGGAGGAATACATTATCTTGCCAGTTCCAAACCTGTAGGCTTCACACTCTCGAAGAAGGCACGGCTTAGGGGCATCAGGGGGCAACTTGTCCATGTAGTCCTGTACCCACTGAGTCCCTGCAACCGTCCTCGCACAGGCTGTGTCGGCAATAGCAAGAAGATGATCCCCACCTCCAACATGACGAAGAGCAAGAACCTGGGCAGGCATGATATTGCACATCTTCATATCCTTCGGGCCATCGGCGGACGCTCCATTGTTGTTGTTGGGGCACTCCTTATCTTTATGCCAGTGGCCCTTTTTACCACAGCTCGAGCAGAAAGAGCGCGACTTCATCAAGCGGATCTTCTCGTCCCGGGCGCTGGACTCATCTCCGCGCCCTTGCTTGCCGGCAGTGTTGCCGGCGGTGCCCGCCTCGGCATTCCCATGGCCTTGGTAGCCGCGGTTCCTCACCTGGTCGCGGTAACGATTTTTTGCACTCTGGTAGGTGACGTAGGCGACTGCAACCTCCTCCGGGATGTCGTCCAAGTTCTCGAAGTCGTCTCCGCTGAGCTCGCAATCGTCATCCGCATTGTCCGTCACATGTGCCGTATAGGGTCATCGGGCCCCTTTTGCACCGGTTCCTTCCCAGGGCTTGCGAAGCCCGCGGTCCTGAATGATCGCTGCCTTCTGGAGCTTCCCGAGGGAGTACTCGTTGCCCACTGACGCGAGCAGGTTGAGCTCGGCGTTCTCCTCGAGGTTCAGCCTGTCAACATAAAGCCAAGCAGCGCATTCTTCAGGAAGTCGACAACCTGTTTCACGTAGGCGAGCATGTAGACGGTCATATTCTGAATTGTAATCCCTGACAGATTGTCCTGAACGACGCTTCAGCTTCCTGAACATATCGGAAAAAGCTTTTCCAATGCGAGTCACCTCCAAGTCCAAGTAGCGGTCCCGCAACCATCCGAGGAGGTATTGGACGCCATCGTTGCGTCCAAGCATGTCGACGCTGAGCTCCTCGGCCGCAACCCATGCCTTGCCGGAGAGGTGCCGATACAGGACCAATCCCTGCTGGCTCTGCGGAAGCTGCGTGAGCCTTCGCTACGCCTCCACCTCCCTCAGGTAGGATCTCGCCGAGTTGCCCATATCCTCGCCATCATCACCGCTGAAGGTTGGGACTGCCAATTTCTCGGAGGCTCTCCCAGTCGGCCTTGTTCCGAAATCCGTGCCCGCATCGTCGGACCGCACAATCTGTGGTCCGCCAGCATAGTGCCGCCAGCCGTCCCACACCACTTGGTTGTCGCCGTAGTCACGCCGGTCCTGCGGGTGCTCAGGCCACGCTCCTTCCCTATGACGTAATCGGGAATCCCTACCTCGGAGAGCACTATCTCGACCATCCGCCCAGGGATCGCGAGGTTCTTCTTCGTAATCGTCGCGGCCTTGGTAGTCCCAGCTGCCATGCACAGAGGCCGTGGTCTCCGTGCTGCCTCCTTCCCAGCTTGTCCCAGCTGGCTCGCCTTCCGCGACCGCCACGGAAGCGTTCATCATCCCAGGATTGGGATCCCCACCACTGACGGCCGCCCCAGCGATCGTCACTTCGCCATCCTGGGTCTCCCCACGAGTGGTGTTCCTAATCCCACTCTTTCACTTGATCATCATCGTCCGGGCTCTTCACAAACTCATCGGAAGTCTCTGCGCTCTGGGTTCGGGGTTCTGCTGCTGCACGAACATCACTAGGATCCGAACTAGTCGGCGCCACATCCGGAGTTGTCATGGCACTACGCAAGGCTGCTAAAGGACTACTGGAGCACTTAGACTCCGCTACCAATATCGACCTAAAGAAACTACGAGGGGAGGGTCACCCCAAAACCCACTGCGGCCCGCCTGGTTGGCGTTCGCCTTTTCGCTCGATACAGAATGCCTCCGCGAAGTTGCCTCCAGAGCGGTCGGAAGGGAGAGGGGCTGCAGTGCTTTGCCCGTTGTGCAAACAAAGACATCAAAACTGAAGGATGCGATAGTCATAAGCAATAGGATTTCTATAGGGCTTCACATTTAGGGTTTAGCTTAGGGTTTACGCTCTCGCAACTCGGACAATCCAGACGAGGTTCTTGGTCGGCAACTGAACTTCTACAGAAACCCCCTGATAGCAGTAGAAAACAGCGAAACAAAAGGTAAGGCCATGGACTGCATGCTACCAGGGGGAACGCAAGGCTTCACTCATTGGAGAAGCGGAGTCCCTCCTATATCCCTACCTCAAACAGCGTCAACACAAGGTAAGGCCACGCACGACGGGTTACAGGAGGAGCTCCGAAAAGGTAGACAAGATGTACAGTATGTCGAGATATGCAGTATATCGAACTCGCATGTATCAACACCGAGATCAAAAGTGTGAAACCACTGCAAAGGACTCCGAATTAGGCGATTTCCCATGTACTGGTCATGCAAGCAACTATCTAAGACAAACACGTCGCTCCTACAGCATGCACAGGATCTGAGGACAAGGTTGTGTACGCGTTAGACATACAGGCCTGGCATGCAAAACACTGTCGACGTGCACCTCACTACAACGGCATGTACAAGGCTTCTGAAGTGGACGCCCTCACTAGCCTTCAGACTCAGAGGTGCTCGACCCGAAGCATGCAGCCATGTCAGGGTATAGCAGTCTCCATCCATGCACTTCAGGTCAGTCACTCTGCAAGGACAGTAGACTCCCCATACTCAGAGGTGAGCGACCGGAAGTACACGGCCACGTCAGGGTACAGCGGTCTCCATCCATGCGCTTCAGGACAGCCACTTTACAAGGACAGGTGATCAGACACCGACTCACAGTTCAGCTCCACGGGCCTCCGACCAGTCAGTTGTTACTCAACTTCCAAAGAAGCCATGACAGTCAAGCTATGTCAAGTCTGCCGCGAAATCCTCACCCCGTCTTGAAGGAGGTATGCCTCCATAGACCCACGTCCACTGTGGTGTGGGTTTGAAACACACCCACGGGCGTGTTGGCAGTGGTCATCACGGCCATTGGCTGACCAAGTCGACTGTATGTAAAGAAAACCCCAGTGCACACACGCACAGGCGGCAGCGGGGCCTGACTAGTGAGTTTCGGCGGTGAGGGCATAGATCAGACCAGCTGGTTCCCTTCCAGCCTTCACAAGAAGCGCATGCAGCTGAAAATGCTGAGATCAAGTATCCAGCTCCAAAGTCCAGAACTCCATAGGGACAGATCCAGGGCAGCGTCACGGTAGCGGCGAAGCGACGATGGTTCACCGCAAAATGAGGCATGGCCGGATTGCACTGGCGAGGGGTAGTGGTTTTGTTTTGGGGTAGGATCGGGAAAGACAGGGCTTAAGGTCATAGTTGTAAAAGGGAAGTGAGGTGAGGCAGACTGACACCGACGACGCGATTTCATGATCATCACCCATGCATCATCTGAAAAGCAGCACGCAGCAGGCAAGGGCATGCAGGAGGGAGAAAAGGGGCAGTGCAAAGGCAAGGAAGGCAGTCCAGCAGGCAGTCCAGCATGAATTCCAAGTAAGTGCAGCCAAGGCGCCGAAACCAAGAGACTGAGTCCAGAAGAAAACAACCCGAAGGTCAAACCCAGAAACAGACCCCCAAGACCTGAACCGAAAAGACAAACTCGAACTCAGCCGTAGAGACCCTCAATTGGTGCAGGATTAAGGATCAGTCCCCAGCAGGGGAGGTGCAGTCTGAGTTGATGCCATACGATTGCTTCTGCAGTACAGTCCAAACGCCCCCATGCGTCCATAATACAATGCTCGAGGAATTTAGCATCATCTGCGGAGGCATACGTAGTAAGGGGCAAAGGGTTGGCTGCACGAGGGAACTCCGATACAACTTCATCCAAAGAGTCCAAATAAATCCAAAGATCATAAACACGATTATAATACCAGTACCAAGACTTCTTATACTCGCGGACAATGTAACGGAGCTCCGCCGCGCACCAACATGCAATATGGGACGGCATCTGATGTAGTGCAGAGGCAATCTCTTGGGCTGCCAAGGGTATGAAGGGGCGGAGATGCTCCGGTTGAACGATCTCTAGCTGGTGGTCTTCCATCTTACACGGAAATCCACGCCTAGCTTGAACCTCAGGTGCTACTCGCGCTCGACATTTCAACCTCTTCATCCTGTGAGTCCTTTATTTCAATGACATCATACTTATCACGATGTTCCACGCTGAGTTGCAGGGCCTCGTTGAGGTTCAACTGTCTGAGTCGGGGAAGTGAACAGGCGCCACATCCAAACAAGGAGCGTTTGATGGCCCCTTCAGAGGGAATGGGGAAACCCAGATGCAACAAGGAATGCCTGACCTCAAGAGAGAGACTACAGCAATGCAGGGATGCAAAGGTAATGAGGGTGACCCTTTGGGAGGGATCCGTAGTAGGACCGATGTAACCTGCATGCAGTCTATGTCGGGCATCAAAGATTTTGGGTTCGTTCAAGTTAAATACGGTTCCACGGAGTGCATTCCCCTTGTAAGGCAGTACTACATCCCCTATGATATCCTGTAGCCAGAGCCCCTCGCCTTCTGGGCATGGTGTAAGGGTTTGAATACTACTGGGAGTAGGGCCATTCCGGTAGTCACGATGCACCTGCGCCATCACACCCCGGCGAATGACAAAGGTAGAGTACAGGTGTGTTGGGCATGTGCGGGCCATGTACTTATTGATCACCATACTCATGAAGGGCATCTCAGTACTATGGGTAAGACCTGAGTCGGGACAGCGAGGAGAAACCCCACTAACAAGGTGTGTTCCGGCAGGGGAAGACCTAAGGCTCGAGGAGGGCATCATACAGAAAAGATCCAACACGTCTTGTTTACTGGGGTACTGGGGGTCCAAAAGGAGTTTGAAGGCTTTGATCTCAATAGGTCGTAGGAGGGGGCAGGGATGGAAATCATGGCATGCAATATACCATGGCTCAGAGGGCTCACGCCTAGGGGTATGCAGGTCACTTGTCTGCAAGTTGGCAAGTGAACCCTGTGGAGGTAGCAGAAGGCCCGGCATGACAGGAATTCGCACGTCCCCTGAATCATCCAGCTGCGTAGATGCACATGCTTCTTCAAACTCAATATCCCCGGAATCAGAAACAGGCGCAGGGTCATCAGGAATAAGGATGGGGTGCGGGGGCGACACTGTCAGTCTGCCTACCTGCCACATCGTTCAGGTTTATAGCTGGGAGCCTGAAAAGAACTACAGGTGTAGTGTACAGTGATGCAACCAGCAAACAAGACGTCCCTATCCCACTGCATTCCAACTGGCCTCGGTTTTGTCCGGTGGACGATCGTCACAGTGCTGCACTTCAGCTGTACAAAGCGCGATGCAGGAAGGCCAGCATACAGGAGAGTATCAAATTCAAGTGGTGCAGTACAGCAAGGAAAAGTCCGGCATGAATTCAAAACAGTACATGCAGCAAGGAAAAGCAGTCCAGCACACAGGCATGCACGAGAAGGCGTGGAGAAAACAACGACTAGGTACCCCCTAAGGTAAGTTTACTTAAAAGTGTGAGCGTGTTTGGCCGTGCATCTGTGTAGGACAGCAAACTCGCTGACAAGCCGACTAGCGCAGCGGAATGTTGAGGCTGCGGCCGTCGGGATTCACAGTGATCCCTTCTGCCGTGGAAAGAGGCAAGGCTTGCTGAAGGTTCACTCGCTGACGAACATCATACGGAGGCGCCGGAGGGATGTCATGATGCGGATGGAATGTGGGGGCCCTGTATTGTGGTGGATGTGTCGATGACGACACCACCGGCCTCTCGCACATCTCCTTGATGCAGTGCACCTCCTCACTGGTGGTCCCCAGAGCCTGCTTCAGGTCTGCAACTTCGTTCTGCGTGAAGTTCAAAGCTGCAAGGATCTCCGAGGCGATGCCCTCCAGTTTCTGGTTGTAGACCTGAGAGGAGTTGAAATCTGTATTGGTGATTTTCTTCAGCACCTCCTTAATGCCATCCACCAGCTTGGCTTCTGTGGCATTGAGCCACTGCCTCTGCTCCGCATGGAAGTCCTTGGCTTCTTGGCAGGCGTCTTCACGATGCCCTCGGACATTAGCCGAGATCGTGCTGAGAAGTCGCACGTTCTCCTTGAAGCCCTGGTCAACGACTTTCTGCGTGGAGTCTGTGTTGGCCGCCATAGGACCAAGTTTTCCAGCCAGTGTGCCCAGAATCTTCTCGACGGCAGCCACCCTCGAAGGGACATCCTTCAAGGCATTGACTGTATCCTTGAGTTCACTGACCGTGGAGATCAGGCCCTTCAGGTCCACATGACACATCTTGACATCGCCATGCATCGTCTGCATCTCTTTCATGAGCTGTTGCGCCGTGATAGGCTGGGCAGCAGCTGCCTTAGGAGCAGTGGTCGGGGTCGATGTAGTTGTCGGAGGTCCCAACGACTTCGGGGTGGCCGAGGTGGACAATTGCCCATCCTTAGGGACATTGTCAGGAGCCTTAGCTGCCCCCGTGGTTTGTCCCGTAGAGCCATCCTTGACCGTAGTAGCGGTGCCATCTCCAGAAGGGGCGGGATCCACGTCTTTGGTCGGACCTGGACTTGCCCCCGGTGCGAGAGCCGACCCATCCTGTGAGTCGGAGGTGGCAGAGGCAGTGGGCGATGAGATGATTGCTGTCTTATCGACCTTTGCCGATGCCATGGACGCCTCCATCGGCTTCTCTGGTGGAGTCTCCCCCATCTGTGGAGCCTCAGCAGGGCCACGAGTCAGGAAGGGCTTCCACATCGACACAAAGCCCTGAACCGCGAAGATC